AGATCTCATCCCCTTTAAATTAGAGAGGAGGCACTCGTCAAGGGTGTCCTCTTTCCCCTATTCTTTTCTGCTTATGCCTTGAACCTTTAGCACAAATGATCAGACAAAATGAATCTATATATCCTGTGACATTGTATGGGAAGGACCATCATATATCTTTATTTGCTGATGATATACTTTTGTATTTATCGAAAATAGAATCTTCAGTTCCCCATGTTTTAAAGCTATTTGACAAATTTGGCCATTTATCAGGTTATAAAATTAATTGGAATAAATCTATTTTGATGCCACTCAACAGTCCTGCACAATCTAGTAATATTCCCCTCATCAGTCCTTTATTAAAGATTCTTTCACCTATCTAGGTATCCATATACTTGCAACGAATACAAGGATTGTGAAAGAAAATTTTGTCAAGGTTTTACAAAATATACGTTCTGATATTCAAAGATGGAATGTATTACAATTATCTCTTCAAGCCAGAGTCAATATTGTGAAAATGAATATCCTACCCTGAATTAACTTCTTATTTTTCATGATTCCTTTATCACCCCCCGCTCAATTACTGTAAGGACATTCATTCATTGATATCTAAATTCATTTTTGGAATGGTAAGGTCCAAGAATAAAGCTAGCTACCTTACAGCGAACCAAATCACTTCGGTGGTCTTTCCTTACGAATTTCCAATTCTACCATTGGGCATTTCAGATAAGAGCTCTGTATACCTGGTTGGATTTACAGTCCAAAGTACCTTGGAGATGTATTGAAGATGCAATTGTAAAGCCCATAGACTGCAAGATCTTCTTTTCTCTGGTCTTGGTCGGACTGGTCATAATCTGAAAATAGGTGGTATAATACTAAACTCCCTAAATATTTGGAAACAGACGGAAAAATACATAGGTGGACCATTCAAAATTAATGCACAAGCTCCTCTCTGGCATAATTTTAAATTTCTGATTGGTGGCAAGCCGTTCCACAGTCCATTGTGGTCCTCTCTGGGCATCAATACAGTTGGAGATATGTATGATGATCATGGTTTCTGTTCATTTCAGAATCTTCAAAATTTATTCAATTTGCGGCATCCTCATATTTTGTCTATCTACAACTACGCTCTGCTCTCAGAGCATACGGTGTGCCGTGGGACTGTCCGCCAGTGGTCCACCCAATGCTTGAGTGGGTCAAACCTTGTGAAAATCTGCAGGTAGAGTCTCTTACATTTATAAAGCTCTTTTAAATAATTCTGTCGGCTTTGTCTATCGAAAAATTATGGGATAGGGAACTTTCCTCATTTAATCATGATCTGGATTGGGACACAGTTTGGTTCAATTTATCACATACTTCCAAAAATTTGGCTCACCAGCTGATTCATTATAAAAAACCATCCACAGAGCGTAGGCAACTCCGTATAGGAAATTTCGGATGAATAGGATTCCCAGTTACAATTGTAATATCTGTAATGCTTCCTCTGGTATATTCATTCATATGTTCTGGGAGTGCCCCAAAATTGCAGATCTGTGGACCTTGGTTGTGAATGAATTATCTAAATTGATTAGCATTACTGTTCCAAAAAACACCACACCTGTGTTTATTAAATGATGACTCTGGTCTTGGATATAGTATGATCCAACGGAAAATGTTGATGGCAGGTTTCACGGCCTCTAAGAAAGTCATTTTACAACTATGGATCAGTCCTGAGATATTACCTCAAGTTCTGGATAAGCTATTTGGATGACATTGTGAATATGGAATACAGTACTGCCAGATTTAATAAGGCTAAATTGCCTACTTTGAGAATGTAGGAATCTCTTTTTGTGTAAGATTCATGATCTTCGACAGTCTCCTGTAGGATGAATTGTTTTGCTGGGGGTTTTTTTTTTTTTTTTTTTTTTTAATAATTCATTTATCTTTCCCTTTTGAATACAGCCACGTGTATATTTTTACTATTTGGAGTTAATTTTGTATGTGTTATGTATGTATCTGTATATGTATGATGCCTCGCTGCTTTAATATACCCTGGAATGGGATAGTAAGCATGTAAATGTTCAGAACGATATTTTATTTGTAACCGTTTGCCACCTCCCTCCCCCCCCCTTTTTTTTTTTTTTTTTTTTTTTTCTCTTCTTTGAAAACCAATAAAATGTTGATCACAAAAAAAAAAAAAAAAAATCTTCTGTTTTGGCTGTTTAACCAAAATGCCAATCATACGAGTTACAGCAGCTTTTGAAGCCCGGATAGCTCAGTCGGTAGAGCATCAGACTTTTAATCTGAGGGTCCAGGATTCAAGTCCCTGTTCGGGCGAGTGTGATTTTCACGGATGTTCGCGCGCATAGTGAAACAAATTGAGTGCCAGGAGTAGGTTTAGCTTCTCAATTCTACAGTCAAATCATTTCTAAGTGCCTGTACTTCTGAGCGGGAGAAATTGAGTACTCAGCTTGAAAAACATTGCTCTCCCATTTCATGCAAAAAAATAAATGCGTGGGAAAGGTGAGTTCCACAAGACAAATCAAAAGTCACTCCATGTGGATGTGCTCAAACTTCTGAGTGTGTGAAATAGAGTACTGTACTTGTCAAAGATTGCTCTCTCATTTCATAAAAAAGCTTTCTGAGTACATTATTTTGCAATTCTAATGGATTATCTAAGCCAGTTTGCGTAGTTTGCAGACACACAACCATTAAGCACCAAAGTCCATCAGAAGACAAGAATTTATGCCTTGAGCGATTTCAGCATTTTTTATGAATGAACCAAAGTTTAATGAAAAACATCACAGATGAAAAAAGCACTATTCCACTTTGGCTGATAGACCAGAATCCATATCTCAAACCTTTGGCCAACATTGAACACCTTTCAAACCTAACCTCCTTCACCCTAACTCTAGCCCCAGGGTGCGCAAACTTATCCAGAATGAGTGACTGCGGGTGCAGTCTTTCATTCAGATCATGCAGTTACAGATTTTCTTCCTCTAATCATCTCCTGGAGTATTTGCTAAAGACGCGGATTAGTCAAGTCAGGTGTGTAACTGCATGATTGGGATGAAATCCTACACCCACAGCAGCTCATTCTGGATAGAGCAGTACCCCTGCTTGATAGAGCGAGTACCGCGTGGCATAAGCGTAACCCTCCTGAACCTGACCCTACCAAAACCCTAAACATAACTCCAAACTTTAGATGCAATCCCATCAACTCCTTACTGGAACCCGATTACCCGTAAATCCCTAACATTCCATAACCCTGGCCCAAAGCATAATGTTGTTGGTTCACAAAAATATTCTCCTCTTGTTATTATCTCAAAATAAAAAATGAGAGAAGGCAATCTTTTAGGCCTCAATAAACCCACTCCTTTGCAATAACTTTGTCGCAAAGACAGCTCATTCACTGACAAGGACGGGTTTCTTAAAGGGGCTTGATTCTCATTGCTTGGTATGTCATGCTTAGAAAGAGGCACATGATGTACAAGCTTGCTGGTGTGACAGCCTCTGCTCAAAATCAGCATTCTACTAACCCCGACGTGATTTGAACACGCAACCTCCTGATCTGGAGTCAGATGCGCTACCGTTGGTGCCCACGAGGTCCCATCGTGCCCATTTAGCTGTGGCTGCCTGTAGCATTTCACAGCATTTTTTATGATTGACCGCGAAATTTAATGGCAAATATCACAGATTAGAAGAATTAAAAATCTTCTGTTTTGGCTGTTTAAGCAAAATGCCAATCATACGAGTTACAGCAGCTTTTGAAGCCCGGATAGCTCAGTCGGTAGAGCATCAAACTTTTAATCTGAGGGTCCAGGGTTCAAGTCCCTGTTCGGGCGAGTGTGATTTTTCACGGATGTTCGCGCGCATAATAGTGAAACAAATTTTGTGCCAGGAGTAGGTTTAGCTTCTCAATTCTACAGTCAAATCATTTCTAAGTGCAAGTATTTCTGAGCGGGAGAAATTCAGTACTCAGCTTGAAAAACATTGCTCTCCCATTTCATGCAAAAAATAAATCGTGGGAAAGGTGAGTTCCACAAGACAAATCAAAAGTCACTCCATGTGGATGTGCTCAAACTTCTGAGTGTGTGAAATAGAGTACTGTACTTGTCAAAGATTGCTCTCTCATTTCATAAAAAAGCTTTGAGTTCATTATTTTGCAATTCTAATGGATTATCTAAGCCAGTTTGCGTAGTTTGCAGACACACAACCATTGCGCACCAAAGTCCATCAGAAGGCAAGAATTTATGCCTTGTGCGATTTCAGCATTTTTATGAATGAACCAAAGTTTAATGAAAAACATCACAGATGAAAAAAGCACTATTCCACTTTGGCTGATAGACCAGAATCCATATCTCAAACCTTTGGCCAACATTAAACACCTTTCAAACCTAACCTCCTTCACCCTAACTCTAGCCCAGCGGTATGCAAACTTATCCAGAATGAGTGACTGCGGGTGCAGTCTTTCATTCAGATCATGCAGTTACAGATTTTCTTCCTCTAATCATCTCCTGGAGTATTTGCTAAAGACACGGATTAGTCAAGTCAGGTGTGTAACTGCATGATTGGGTTGAAATCCTGCACCCACAGCAGCTCATTCTGGATAGAGCGAAATTTCCCTGCTTGATAGAGCGAGTACATCGATGCCACAAGCGTAAAGCCTCCTGAACCTGACCCTACCAAAACCCTAAACATAACTCCAAACTTTAGATGCAATCCCATCAACTCCTTACTGGAACTCGATTACCCGTAACCCTAACATTCCATAACCCTGGCCAAAGCATAATGTTGTTGGTTCACAAAATATTCTCCTCTTGTTATTATCTCAAAATAAAATGAGTAGAAGGCACTCTTGTAGGCCTCAATAATCCCAATCCTTTGCAATAACTTTTGTCGCAAAGACAGCTCATTCACTGACAAGGACGGTTTCTTAAAGGGGCTTGATTCTCATTGCTTGGTATGTCATGCTTAGAAAGAGGCACATGATGTACAAGCTTGCTGGTGTGACAGCCTCTGCTCCAAAATCAGCATTCTACTGACCTTTCGACGTGATTTGAACACGCAACCTTCTGATCTGGAGTCAGACGCGCTACCGTTGCGCCACGAGGTCCCACCTGCCCATTTAGCTGTGGCTGCCTGTAGCATTTCACAGCATTTTTATGATTGACCTGCGAAATTTAATGGCAAATATCACAGATTAGAATAATTAAAAAATCTTCTGTTTTGGCTGTTTAACCAAAATGCCAATCATACGAAGTTACAGCAGCTTTTTGAAGCCGGATAGCTCAGTCGGTAGAGCATCAGACTTTTAATCTGAGGGTCCAGGGTTCAAGTCCCTGTTCAAGCTTAGTGTGATTTTCATGGAACCCCCAACTTTCCCCCAAAGACTTTGTTGGCCCAAAATCCCCCTTTTAATACTACCATAAAGCATTTTTTACACAACAATTTTTAAAAAATTTAAACTTTTCTTAGAAAAAAAATTTTTAAAGTTTTATCCTTTTTGTTAAAAATAAACAACTTTTAGCAGGGCCAATACCCTTGCGCAGTTTCACTTTGATGAAAGGTTGTACGTGAAAAATTTCATGTTTTAACTTCTTTAGGTTACTTAAAACCTTTCTATACCAAATAATCTGGACAGGTTACAAAATACGAGCCTTGTAGTCATTCGGATTCAGATTTTTTCCGAAAGCCTTTAATTTGGTTATGTTATTAATCTTGTAATAGTTTGTTCGAACACTAAAGTCTAGGGCAGAACTTGCTGGAAAAAATTTGAATCGCAGTTCAACAAAAACAAATTAAAAAATCCCCCTGGGATGCAAACTGTGCAAAGTAGTTCATTCATCCCCTAAAACCTTTCTTTTAAGCAAATTTTCCTTATTTATTTGGTTAATAAACATGAGTAAACCTAACAAAAATCACCTCGCTTTGTAAGAGATGATAATGGATCAAGATGATATTCTGAAACACAGAATACTTATGCCAACTTATGGCTTCAAGCCTCTCAACTACCAAGACCCAAATATCTGACCAACTCAGGGTGCAACCTATCTCGATAATCTCAATTTATAGTGCAAAAGAAATTTTTGGATTACAATTTCTAATTTTAAATAAAAAAACTCTTGTCAAATCCACTCTTAATTGCGGTAGCAACCCTTTGCACAAGACCTATCTAAAGGTATGCTAATGCCTAATTCCTAGATAACCGATTACAAGTATTTAACCCCTGCCAACATTACTACCTAACTATTCAACATTATGTATAGCGAAAATTCTCTAGCAAATCTCCATCTTAAGAACTTAAAATCAACCTTTGTGAAGTATTTCTAAGGATTCACTGGATAGAATCGTTGTAAGCTGATGTTTGGTTAAATTCAAGCATTTAACGGTAAATGGGGAAAATTGGGGTTTATCCCCTGAAGTCCTCAACTCATAGCAGAATTCAATATTAACTCAACTATTAACTGATACTTAACCAATTTCCATACCCGGCCAAAGTATTTTGGTTCAAAAATCCCCTTCTTTTTCAATAATCAAATGGATGCATTTAGCCTGAGATCCCATCGCTTTGAATAGTTTGATGAAGCAATTACTGATAGTTCCCGTTTCTAAAGGAGTGTCCGATTGATGTTTGCAATCAGCACGATCTAGTCCGTTTGATTGTGACAACTTTTCAAAATCACTTATCCCCATAATTTAACCTGAGGTTCGATTATTCAGAACCTGCTTTAAATGAGTCCAAAGCATTACTTCTTCTGATTTACAGAATTTTTGATTCAAATTTACAATTCAAATTATAATTAAAAACTCTGCTGGTTTTTAAACAAATTCATTTAGAGTTTACAACAATAAGCCAATAAGTCACATCTGACACGATTAATCCGTAAGAGTTCAATCTGTAAGCCGAGTGCTTTTGATTGGATGAAAACGCCTATAAACATTGAGTCCACAGTAGATTTGGACTTGCCTACACCATCATCCCAAGCCCATATCTAGGCGAGGGATTACTTAACTTGAATAACATTCCTTCTTAAACATCCTAGGATATCATTCTAGTAAGCAAAGTCATATTGGATGCTCCAGTTATTCTGTTAATACTCTCAACAATCTCTCTGATAAAACATTTGATTTGCAGTATCTAATGTATCTACAGCAGTTTTCCTATCAACTGTCATTTCCATTCGACAATATTAAACCATAGCCTCTCATCAAACCTTTCATGATAGTTAATTAAAACAAAATGATGTACTCACTACTACCAAATGCATCTCAACTTTGCCAATAAAACTCTTTCCAACCAATTTCGAACTCTCATTTGCAAAATGATCCAAATAAATGTTGTGGGTTTCAAATTTCCAATCATTATACAGATTTTACAATCATCCTGGAGATTTCTATTCTGGGTTAGCGTCAATCTTGACCTGGAGGCATGATTTTTCCACGCTATTCAACATTAATCAGTGTAGGTAATACATAAATTACTGATCTGACTCTTCAAAATAAATATCCAAATTTTGTTCAACCAATCTCTGTTCTGGAAGTATCGCGAACTATCCATAAGCTGACCAGCCATAGTTGGGGAAGTTCTCCTTTTGATAAATTAAATGGTAGAATCAATTTAAAAAAAATTTTCTATTGCAATCTATTAAGAAGCCTTCATCGTACGACGTTACTAAGCCTTAATTCAATTCTTGATGCATTAATTCATGTCAAAGTTATGCTGAAGCCTCCAAAAAATCAGTATTCCACTTGGGTGATTAACCAATTTTATTTGATCGCATTTCAAAATACACCTTCTCAAGCCTTTATTTTTCATTTGAAATGCAGTATGTTTGACAGACATAATACAAATTCAATAATTGGAATTTTTTAGGATTTGAACATTTAAAATCAACTTACAAAACTTTGCGTGCTATTCATGGCTATCAATTTAACTTGGCCAACTTAAGACCTTTCAGTAAAGAAATTTACGAGTGTTACCCAGCAAAATTTCCAGAGTAGGTTTCCTTTAAATCTCAGTAAATCTATCCTTTTATCATTCCTGGGATTTCAGAATTAGGTTAGTAGTATTTCACTTGCTTGACCAAAAAAATGATTCGGGAAGTTAGTTCCCAATACAAATCATCAGATCCGTGCTTGCTGAGACTTCGACCTGAAACTAATTTATCAAATGATCCTCATAAGTTTGCTGACCATTACAAATCTAACATCATACGTGTTAAGCAAGTTCTGTTAAATCAGTCCCATTGCTCATCCAAAAAAACTTAAGACTTAGTTTCAACATTTTTGATACACAATTTATAAAACATACATGAAAGACATTCTTTGGCTTATATACCAATCATATTCATTTGAAAAAATCTTTCAAGCTACATACGATTCCGCATAGATCCTATGACCGGTGTTAAATCTTTGACAGGTAGCTTACATTTCGTCCCTAATGTCCATTTGTCTAGCTGGGTTTATCAGTTTATATTGAATGATAATGCTTACACAATTCGGATAAATTTTCCCTCGTTAATCAAAGGTAATCGGCTAGAAGGTATCCGCACCACTCAAGCCTAAAGCTCCACTTTAGGGTCGTCCATCCTTTACGAACGATTGCCCTACCCTTTCATAACGATCAAATATTTGTTGTTTCAAAATTCTCTGTTCATAACAACAGTCACTGACGGCAATGTAGCCTAAAATTCCTCCCTTTATAAATTTAAAATCGGAATAGTCCCAAGATCTTAAATGCATTTGATGCTAACAGAGTATCTTGAAAGACATTTTAAAGCTGCTCTTCACTTTCTGAGAGAATTTTAATGGGTATTAACATTAGTTTGCAGTCACCAGCCATTGCTTAATACCCAGAGACAATATGCTTTGGATTTGCTTTTTCGAATTAAGTTGATTGAACTCTAATGAAAATCTCGTTAGGCATTAAATTCTTTGATTCAAAAAACATTGAAACCAACCTTTACCCTAACCAATGCAACGTATCAGTTAATTTGGGATCAGTTCTAAGCCCTAGCGTATTTTTCGAACATTCCGGTTTGGAAGCAAATTGTTCATAGTGGTTAGTATAACAATTCAAACCTACTAGTCCTTTTCTGGATAAATTCAGTACTATAAGGTGCTCCTTCATGCGAATAAATCGTAAATCCAAACACAAATGTCAATCCTTTGGATTGTCACAATCAGTCAAATTGGGCTACTTGACAAGTCTTTACTTCTTAATATTCAGTCATTATTTAGCCAATCAAACTAAGCCATTTATTTTTCCAATTCACAACCATCTTAAATTCAAAAACCATTAAACATTTTATGAATTGCAAAATTTAGAAAAATCACTGAAAAAAGCACTATTCCACTTTGGTGATAGCCAGAATCCATCTCAAACCTTTGGCCACATAAACAACCTAACATAACTCTCACCATTAGCAACTTGCAAATGGCAGATGTCGTTCTCAGTCTTTCATCAAATATAAACAATTTCTCATTAAAATCTCTAGTATTTCTAAACCGCATATTAAGATTCGTATGGGATAATCCACCAAACAGCCATTGGTAGTACCTGCTGTGATCAGCTCTTGCGTAGCTCTCCAAATCCCCAATGAAACTAACTTAATTTGTAACCTTTAATCACATCGACTACATAACCGTAACGTACTCCAAACCTGAAAACATAAGTTAATGGTTCAAAAATCTCTATGTCCTAAAAAATTAATGAAGTAAACTTTAGTCCATAAACATCTTTTCTAAAATTTCTCAAGAATTCACTCAAGGTATTTAAGGCTCTCTTTCATTCAAATTGACACCATAAAAAGACATTATGTTGGGTGGCTTCAGCTTCTAATGAGACAGCCATGAAATTACGCAAAACCTTCAATTTTGTGATGACCGATTATCCAAATCCTTTGCCAATTTAGCATGCTATTCACTTCTCACGAATTTAAGCAAAATTACGATGGAAAAAATTTAATTAATCTTGGAGTAAATAATCCATTGAATTCACACATTTTAACCTGGCTATCATGATATACTTTAATCTGGGTCTCAGTGGTTAAATCTTAGAGGATTTTCAGTATCCCGGTGATGAAACAATTGTGCCAGTAAATTAACTCCTAA